AAAATGCATCAAAATCACGTATTTTCACAATTCCAGAACCGGATCTCAGTCATGCATGGATGGATTTTGTTCAGATTTAGCACAATGTGTTGTACATATGCAGGTGCATTTCGGTCATGATCTGCTTTGAATGTATATGTCACTCAAATATGAACGGAACGGGGACGTGTCATTGACAATGACTTGTTGTAGTTTAGTTGAGACAAAAGGTACAGAGACCAGCTTTATTTCCAATCATATAACAGCTATCTATAAGCTTTGATGCCAACACTTAAAACATTGTTTCAGGTTTTTCTTTGATGATCCAGATTTCTGGATCTGTTACTACATCCTTCGTCTGTTGGTCTGAATAATGATAACCTAGTGTACCTGAATGCTTATTTTCTCAATAACAGTTCGAAGTCATGTTGATTACTGGTACATGATATATAGCGTGTGTTCAGTACTATGATTATTATCAAACATTGTCCATGTCCACTATTCGATGGTGAAAGAATATCCTACATTTTAAGAATGTAGTAGAAACATCGAGTACATTTAAGTGAAGATTAAGCTTAATAAATTACTTGATCAAGTGAACTTATTGTGGTAGATTGCAAGTACATCGGTATGGCTATATGTGTAATTGTCATCATGGCTTGTGTGAATTACTGTTATCTTATCGCGATCAATACATCTTCTGACCAACATTCAGCATCCAGTGAATGTATTACCCTGATTTTGTGTACAAACATTCTATATTATATTAATCAAACATTTTTTATACCAGTCACGGTTTCTAAATTTGAAAAAAGTGGTAGTAATATTGTTATGTAAATGAGTCCTGTGGATGTACAAATAAATTATCTAAGTTTGCAAATAAATGAGTACAAGAGATTTCTTTACGACGAGTCACATGCGTAGTCCGAAATAGCTAATTTTTATGAAATTAATCTTAATGTATGTGCAGTGTCTATAGATCATCATTTGAACTTCAACATTTGTACTCATATTTACTTTTTATTCTATTTTCGACATCTGCGATCATCACAAATAACACGCATCCAACATCATATTTTGTATATGAATGATAATATATTAATGAGTAAAGTAACCCGTTATTATTTTTTTTGTAGGTATTCCGTTGATAGTCTTACTAACGAAGATCGATACAGCATGTCCATACGTGAACAGAGACACGTCTATGGTGTATAGAAGTAAATATATTTTAGAGAAAGTAGACGAACTGAGTTATAAATTGGGAGTTCCAAAATCTAGCATACTGCCGGTTAAGAATTACGAAAGTGAACTTGAGTTGGACACAAAAATAGATATTTTAGCGTTGAGTGCTATCCGGCAGATGTTACGATTCTCCGACAATTTCTTTGATGACCAGCTGGATGAAATATCAGACCACTTAGAGAACTAAAATACCACATATTGTCAAAATACGGGTATAATATTGTTGTTTTGCTGATTATTAAATACCACATCAAGTTCATTTCTGAAACTTGATATATTTGCGTGTGTGATCGGCACTTCCATACAACCAGTATTATCGTAGCACAGTAACATGTGATCAATTTTGAACTATTATTGATAGTACACCATAACAACTAACTTGAATATACTTATTAATATTTATTTACATGTTATATATATCCTTTCTGAAGCATACTAGTATATGTGGAATGTAGCCACGAAGTCTGTGAGTGCGCTACATAGGGCTTGTTCAGTATGGACATGGTGTGAGATGGATTGGATTCCAAACAGCCAAAATTATACATTGGCGTTTTTTAATGGCTTAATAAATTTATACTTAACTTTGTACAGGTCTGTTAGATTCTGTCAACATTTATAGTATATTACTATGCCCTATTATATCAGCTGAATGCCACTGCTAGATGTATTATACATATTTAATGCTTGCTGCAATCTGTGCAACACTATTTTATAAGGTATTTATATCTGTTTTTCGAGAGATGGCTCAAATTTATTTCCATTGCCAAACTTACAACTGTTTTTTATTGTACAGAAACTGAAATAAAACATGACGGCAATGTCCTTTGTCTGGTGTAGACTTCTTACTGAAACCATTCGATTATGTTATGAATATGTTATGACCTACTAGTTTAATATATTTTTCACTTAATAATTTAACTATACACCATTGTGTACTTGTATTTCTTCGTTCATTGGTTCCAGAAAATATGCATCTATTCCATATACACCAGTTTTTATGACATATTACATTATGACTGAAAATAAATCATATAATTGGTGGAGGCTGTATATCTACAGATATATTATACGGAAACATATGAATTGCTAGGTGCAACATACAATCAACCAGCACGTATGAATTTGTCATGTCAGAAATTACACCAAAAGGAATATGACAGTAGGTGATAAACAGTAGGATGAGAATTTGCATTTCAACTTGAACCTACATCTGCCCGTTTCTTGCCAGCAATGGTAGACAAAGCTTGAATGCATGAATATGAATAGGCTTTGATTTATATTTCAGTAATTGGGCATGGTCTAGTCAAAAAACCCTGCTGGAGTGATGCAGGACAGTAGAAACACCTGGATAGTGCCTGAAAAATTATGATACAGTGGCCAAACAGACTACACTGACATGGTATTGCCAGGGGAATATATGGAGCATGTGACAGAAGCAAATGACTTTTATGAAGACATGATAGTTTATTGTACCAAACAAAATAAATTAGTAAAAACAATAAACCTCTATGGGAAAAAAAATCTTGTTTTTAAAAATAATTCTCACATAGATTTAACAGGTCCATGAACTTGACAATGCATAAAAACAATGTAAATTTAATATATTGACACTGATGGCACTATAAAATGATTCAAAGTTATGCAATTCATATAGCCCGTTACAAGTAGATTTATGACTGATTCATGTAAGCAGATATTGCTGTAACACAATTACAAGGCTCTTACCAAACAACACTGCATCTATATAATATGCTAATATTGATTTGTTTTTCAAAACGTAGCATACCAATTACAACCTTGCCCATTCAGAATCTGGATATTAAACAATTAACAAAAATTCAAGTTGAATAAATTTGCCACCTAAAATCTTTTCTTTGCATGGAAAATACTGGCTAAAATTTAGCTGGGAACAATTCTGACCAAAAATGAACAATAATGAGGTCATTATTAGCACATAATATTAATTAATGTTCCTCAATTAATACTAAATGTACTGTATTATGATATTCCCTGAATTGTATAAATATATCTCAACATAATTTGACAGAGAAATACTAGCTTGAACAGTTTACTGATTTGTCACCCAAGAATTGAACTTGGTTGACATTTGATCGCGATTGATTTGATTTCCAAGTTTGAAGATCATCTGTTAAAAATTGTACAAGTTACTGTAACCACAACAAAGGAACTTAATTACAAGTTAAATTTATCAATATTTTAAAATATATATATCGGTATATAGTACACATACCAAAATCAAACTTGGCCGAGATGCTACACTGGTTAATAAAATATTGTAAAAAAAAATATTGGATAGAAACTAAGAGTTATTGCAACCACAAGAAAAAGTTTTACAACACCAATGAGGACAGACAGTATCACCACATATACCTTTCCCTTCATCAACAATGATATGAGTAAGATTTAAACAAATTGAAAATTATGGTAAATCAATATGGAGTGGTAAATGAACTAAGTTTAATGAATCTATCACCATGGCAACTGATACAAAAATAAATTTTCAGGGCTTCCTCCCTCAATATCAGTTTATAAAAATTATCTTCAAACGCGTATACAGATCAGAAGTATTTTCAATCTTCTCTCACATGATTTTATTTCATTCAAGTTAGATACAGCAGATGAAGCAATATAAGAGAAACAGAAATGTAACTTTACACGCCATAGCCGAGATTGAGATTACTGTAAATCTACTACATACTCTTGTTAACAATTTGACAGAGCAAAACAGAAAGTCAATAATTCATGGTGTTGAGGATATCATATGAAAAGAAAACACCATCATTATTGTTAGGATATCCCTGGATGGCATTATTAAATGATGGGGATATCATCAGGAGTAAAAGACAAACATGGCATAATGTAATATACTGCTATTAATCTGGCCTGTTATTGCTGATAACCTGATAAACCTCTTAGACCGCATTGAATTCATTTTAAAGTTGTTAATCCTAGAATTGTCTATTTATTTGACTGGTCACAATATGGGGAAACATGATAAAAAATACTTCTATGTTCATGAAAGATTCGTCTTAATACTCAACAGTCAAACAATTCTCTTGAAAATTAAATAAATTATAAGATAATTTCATGTACATGAAGATGAAAATAAAGTGGCAGTAAATGTTTATCTATTGTTGTCTTCTGATGTAAATAACAAATCCCAATATCATTGCTAGTACAGTTATTACATAAATATCCCAATCTGTACCAAGATAGTAATCCAGATTCACACTTGACCAGACATCAGAACTCTGAAATTAATCCATTATATATGTAGATTATAGAAAATATATCGAACTATTCTAATCTTGCCAGTACGTGACTATAACAGTAGAATTAAAAATCTGTGCAAATAATCTTTTTGGCAAAGTTGGAACACAAAATATTAACAAATGAAAATTAGCCAACTTCATAGATCAATATTATTAATACAAGAAACACAATGTATTGATTTGAACAGATAGTAAATATTTGTTAACTGATACAATTGGTGTATCCATTTTCATCACTGTATCTCTAAATCTCTATTTTTTCAATCAGTATATTTGATATATCTGAAATCAATAGCAATACTGCTAATTTGTTCATTTAAACTATAACTGCCAGTTCTATATAATGCACTGATAACATTAAACATTGTTATTCAGTGGTGAATTTCATCCCTAGGCAATAAATAATGTTTGAAATAAAGTATATGCAACAGACCTATAAACTCACCTGTTGAAAATACTCCAGACTACGTTTAAATCCCAGTTTAGCCAATGCCAACATAACTGGTACATATGCATCAGAGTTTGTTTCCGCTGCCATGTCATAAAAACGTTTTGCCAAATGAATATCCTAAAACATGAAAGAAGTTGAAAAAATAATAATCATAATGTTGAAGATTAATACAACAATTACAACAATTGATATTCACAGGGAGTGTGTAGTTCAGTAATGAACTGATAAGACATCCTGATACTATTAAGGTGGAGAGATGCATCAATCTTATGTCTGGCAGACTTTAGTTACCTGTTTCATTCCCAGTCCTTGTTCATGCATATATCCCAAATTAAACATTGCCTGTGCACTATGTTGTTGTTCTGATGCTAGTCTGTAATGCACCGCTGCCGTCTCATAATCAACCTGAGTACCGTAACCATAGTAATGGTAATCGCCTAATTTCACACGAGCATGCGTGTAGCCTACAAAACAAAGCAACCATTGATGAGTGTACTGATAATGAATTACAAAGAAACTAAGCAATGTCTATTTATGTTCATTTCATTGGTTATATAGTTGATTTTTCTCACCCTGTGCTGCAGCTCTACTCCACTGTAATAATGCTCTTCTATATGTATCATGATTGGCAAACAGATTGGTCTCACCTGAAATGAATAAACAAATATATGTTTCATGTAATTAATGAATGCAAAGGAAACATATAATACATATATAAATGGACTGCCAGACAATTTAAATTGTAAAACCAAATGGCAGATTTATCAGCCATTTATGGATTGGATCAAAACAAAGATCAACTTTAGTTGGACATAAATTGGACATGATGAATTTGAGATATACGCCAAAATGTGCAAAAAAACTACCAGGTGACCATCTTGAATTGGATTGTGATATAATCAACTTTCATTGATAAATAAATAAATAAATAAATAAAGTAGCTAAAAAGCTACAGTCAGAATAGTTACAAAGTAATATGCATGACAGTACCTTGATCAAGGATGAAAGCAACATTGCTTTGAGCTACTTCATATCCAAGCTCAGCTAGAAATGCATACTTCATTAATGCTGAATCCACATTGCCTTCTTTATAACTAGTGTGTGCTTCCATTATTAATTCTGACCAGTGCCCTCTCTCAACAACATTCTTGAATAACTGAAAAAGTAGAGCAAAATTTAATAAGAATATGCGTATTACATCAGCACTGAAAATCATTTATTAAAAGTAACAAAACCATTTCAATAAGACTAAAAAAATGCAAGTTGAAATTTCAGAGAATTATCTGCTATATTGTTGGATACAATTATAGTAGTATCGTCCAATATTTCAGGAGCAAGAAATCTATCATTGTGAGAATTGTTTTTATTAAGTTGAAGCCAGCATAACACATTGCTATGAACAGGCAAAACAGTCAAAAAGTGCACATACCATGTTAGTAGCACATGTGCTTATGTAAATGACAGTGGTGTGTCTACGGCTAAAAGAAGTAATATTTGACTAATCCAGTAAACAATTACGACAATTGATGGTTTGCATTCACTTCTTTTAGAGATGCACTTCTAATAGAGAAATACTACACTTGCCAAAAGTAGATGATTATACGATAACTTTTGCATGTATTACTGTTTAATTCCTAGTCTTTTCTCAAAATATACAGTAGCACTAAAAATACCAGGTACAGGTTTAGACAGAATTTGAATGTCTACTCACTTCAGTAGCTGTGTGGCATGACCTCATGACTCCAGTTCCAGCTGCATGCATCTGTGCTAAATTGTAAAATGCCAAGACATGTCCAGACTGTGATGCAAGGTTGAAATACTTGACAGCCATTTTGTAATCTCTTTTCACTCCCAAACCACCTGTAATTAATTGGATAAATGTAGGTAAACTCTCGTATAATTTTCCCAAACCAAAAAAATCATGAAAGTGAGAAGATAGGATGCAAGAATGTACTGGCTAATACATGAGAACTGATGATTTGAATATTTTCAGTGAATGGATTAAAATGTTTACTAATGTTTTGACTACCCAAATAACAAAATCATATAATAAACATGGCTGTCACTTTCTCTTTTATACTCGTGACTTATAAATTCAGTAGAATATAAATTCAGGAGTACATGTATGTATTGAGACCTGTATAATGAGTATACACACCAGTACAACTATGGTCTAAAATATTATATACAAATAAACTACTCAAGACACTTAATTGAGCGACTACTTTACATGGCAAGTAAGAATAGGCAGAATGTACTTACTGTAATACATGGTACCTAGATGTAATTGTCCATCTACCCAACCCTGATCAGAAGCCATCTGAAAATGCTGCAAAGCCTTGCTATAATCCTAGTAACAGAGAATTGAGATATCAAGAATATTATTTGAATCACTCAGTAAATTCATCAACATGTCATTCATTAGTGTTTTGAGATTAAATTATTTTGTGAAAGGTTTAAAGTGATAATATGCAGTAACCAATGACGATGAAAAATCCTTTCACAAACACAAATAAATTTAACATTAAATAGGGAATACTGGAATCCATACAAATGTAATTTTGAAACATTTGTAACAGTTCTATAAGCCAAATGACCATGCATTGTTAAATTATAGTTGTAACTATCTTTACACCTAATGTAATAATAACAAACCTGGTCAACTCCACTTCCATGCATATACAATAAGCCAAGTCCACTTTGTCCTATTGGATTGCCTTGGTCAGCTGCTTTCTTGAAATATTTAAATGCAGTTACATTATCTTGTTTGACAACTGAACTTCCTTCTGAATACATCTAATGAATGAAATAGTAACAATATTAATTAACAACGCTGTAAAAGGTGCTGTTTTATAACATAACAAGTAATATACATCAGTGAAACGCACATTTCTATGTGGAGAAAAAAAATCACAAGACAATATACTTTTTATTGCTGCGATATAAGATACGCATAATGAGATAAAGTTAATTTTGAGAATACATCGTCAGAATAGTAATATTTCTACTGATTGTCAATGGCCTTAACTGCAAATGCTTGTCCACCGATGCAGTTTGATGTCATTAGCATAAATTATTTGTAAACATAGTTACTTAAAATTATGATTTATCTGTCTTTTAGACACTTTGAGTTGGTCATGTGATAAACCTGTTATCACCTGATATCCTTATTCGTAAAGCAGGTTGATACTCATGTCATCATGAGCTCAAAGGTCACTGTGACCTTGTCTTATGACAGTCCAACCCAATGAGAATTTTCCTTCAGGAATATTTGTCTCACTCGTAAAACAGACACTGATTGTGAAGAATAAAGACAATACAAACACCTATCGCCAACAGTTGCCTTACCTTACCAAGGAAAGCTTGTGCATTTGAATTACCAGACTCTGCAGCTTGTGTGAAGTATTCCAGAGCTCTCTGTAAAACAAAATAATTTGAAAGCCCTCAAGAATGTTGCAATTAACTTAATGTATCAAACAGAATTTATGACAAGATTTTTCATAAAAAAGCAAAGATGTAAACATTACCTGGTGATCAAGTTCAATTCCTCTACCACCTTGATAATTTAACTGACCAAGTCCAACCTGTATATGAAAAGACATTATTAATTATATATAGGATAGTAGAAAAATAGTTTTTAAAAATAAGAAGACAAGAAATATTAGTGACAAGACTAGTACAAGATATACTGATACAAAACCTTCCGAGCTCTAATTACCCACAATGCATCATTGAAACTACCTCCACACACAAACACATAACCATGACATGTTTACCTGTGCCTGCACATCCCCTTTATCAGCTAAAAATTGATAATATTGTATCAAGTCTTCGTCCAATAATCCAGTCATGGTACCTGAACTTTCTATTTCATCATATAAACGAACACGCTGCACAGCCAGCCCACCATTCAGTGAAACATCATTAGAAACTATATAATTAAACAAAAATATCAAATTAACACTCCATATGATATTATCTTCCTCTAATCATCTATTTACTCAAGGAAATAATCTCATTAGGGAACACGATCCCATAAATTTTTGAGTTACATTAGTTTCAAACATAACAGATAGATATTTAATTATCATTTTTGTTGCGGTTATCTTGACTTTGCATTGAATGCATGTTGTTATATGCCATTATATGTACCTGTATGTTTCGTCTTACCTTTAATTGCTACTTTTCTATAATATGTGAGCGCCGATTCACAGCTTTGTGACACACCAATACCAGCCCAGTAGCGGTACCCCTAAATATACAAATAAGACTAATTATCAAAATTTCTTGGAATCTGACAGAGAACTTTAAACTCAATGCTGCAAAACTGGATCAATGATCCAATGACCATCATAGATGCAATAAAGTTACATACCCGCTACGTGAAAGTTAATCAAAAAAATGGTCCAGGGTTTCAGATGGGTTCAACTATTACAACGTGTAAGCGTCCAGCCAAATATTCATCAAACAATCATGTTTTACTCATTGTGATATCAGACACTTTATTGATACAAATATTTGAAAACACCCCTAACACATAATGAGTTTCCTTAATTATCCTTGTGAGATCCAGTTAAGTTTTGAATGCAGTTTCTAATTTTGAACAATTATTGCTATTATGTTATGATGAAGACACTGAGATGGAGATTATTCGCCTCTTGCGAATGATCGCCAAGGAAGTTTGACTAGCAAGGGCAACGGTTCGAGGGATTATGCGGCATTTGTGTTGCATCAGTTGGATACATTTCGACAGGAGTATCGGCCATCATCAACTGAAGGTTACACAAGAAATTCCTGAGTTTATCGAATTTCGTCTCAGATCTGAAGGATATTTGAAACTGGTATATGGTGACGGTGTGAAGGTGAAACTAA